CTTCTCCCTCTCCCACTCCCCCTTCTTGTGTTCCCTCTCTGTCTCTCTCTCTCTGTGTCAAATAAATAAATAAAATCTTTAAAAATAAGAACTGTTCTGTCTACCCACGTGAGAGACAGAGCCTGCAGATGGCTCCGTGGTAGGCTCCCTGGAGGGAACAGACTGGGATTCTGAACGGGCTTTGCTTACCCGGTGGTACACGCAGACGCCCAGAGTGCTGTAAAGGAACCGCAGCAGAACCTGCAACCGTGTGGACCCGAGTCCCATTCCCTCAGACTGGGGCACATACTGATAGCCTATGATGCCCAACAACCGGCCAAGAGCTCTCCTCCGCAGAGGAACAGCTCAACAGGAAACTGCGATGGGCCCTGGAAACCCTGGCTGTTGAAAACCGGAGGAGACAGGGCCTGAGGGACAGTAAGTGAGCTGGTAAGTGCAGACAACCACTGACAAAAGGACCGGGGTTCCCGGGTGTCCCCTCTGGTGGACCCAACGCTTTCCGCACATGAATGGGGGACAAAGTGGTCAGGGGTGGGAGAGAAGTTTCTGGAACTCTGATCCAGGAGCTCCGCGGGAAGCCCCAGAGCAGGCTGTGAATGGACGCGCAGACTGGGAATGTGCGGGCTGACAGAATTACGGGTGAAGTGGGGACAGACTGGAACGTTCCCACAGGCTTGACGGGAAGAGCTGGTGGCCGTTAGTGCCTATTTCATGGGCACGACTATTGCGTCTCCCTAGGGAGCGCTTCCCCTGCCCGCAACTGTCAATCCGAACCCACTGGAGAGGCCCGGTGAGGAGTGCAAGAGCCGGCGGGGCGAAGGCGGAAGCTGGACAAGAAGAGCCCTGCACGTCTGAGCGGCCTTAGCAACGGTGGCTGCGTCTCTTTTACTCAGACGCATGTCAACGGATACCGCGCCTCTCTGGGGAACGTTCCCATACCCAGTGCTGTAACACAGGCTTATAAACGGGAACCAGCCAACGTCAACGCAGGCACGCTACCTGGGAAGCACCCAGGTGGCCGGAGCCCACGCAGTGCAGACAAGAGCTGGAGGGCTGATCCTCTGTGCCATACTGGGCATGGGGTGTAGCCCAGAGCCCGTCAGCGCCTGCAGCAACAGCACTGGGACTCTGGACTGGGTGGAGAGCTTCCACCGGAGGGCCAACTCCGAATTTGCTGAAGGAAAGTAAAGGGATAGGCACCTCATGACTGAAGGACATGAAATCCCCGTGCAAGTGAAACACTCACAATGTCTCCGAGGTCCCAAGGCTTAGGAGCAGCTCTTCAGAAGAACTTAAAATAACACGAGCCTTCTCCTGGCCCCTGACGTAGCAACCAAGGCTCAAATGCAAAAGTTTTATTCTTTAAATATCAAGTGATACGCTCATACAAAAACAGCTACATTGCCAAACTAGTGTCTAAAGTGCTTGAGTTCCCACAGCATCACACGCGCCATGGCACACGTATGCCCTGAGCCAGGGGGAGGAGGTGGGCTTTCCTCCCGGCGGTTTGCAGGGAGGTCCCCACTTGTGCGGGGGGGACATGGCCTGCGTATAGACTCACACCGCGTGTGGCTCACCAGCGCCCAACAGGAGTGGCGTCCCGACCTCTCCCGGAGCTTCCCCACAGGCGCCTTCTTGATTGAAGTACCACCGGCTGGGGGCCTCCAGGCCCTGGGCTTCTTCCCAGACCTCCTGGTTGATTAAGGCCGCCTCTTTACTTGCCTCGGCGGAGAGTTCCAGCACCTGGGCGAAGCTCCTGCAGAAACGACAGGATGCATGAAGCCTTTTCGCCCTCTGTGCCCGGGAGCCAGAGAGAACCAGGGGGGCTTCGGCCTTTGCGGCTGCAATGTGGGGAAGGCGGCTGCTTCCCGTGTGCTCTTGGGAAAGCACGGACAACTAAGAACAGAACAAATCTGAGCAGAACTCAGAGAGGCCTGCAAGAACAGGACCGGGCAGGTGCAAAAGAAGACTCGTTTATTCACCAAGTATTTAGGGAACACCCACACCGCGTCAGGAACCATGCCATGAATGGAGGGGTGGCCCTCACGCAGTGTAAACGGCGGTGGGGAAACACACACTGAAGGAGCGTGTCTGGCCAGCCGAACGTGGGACCCTTGTAATCTGGAACCTCTGATGCGTGCTGAGCTCATCTGAGGGTGCACACAGAAGGAAACGTCATAGTAGGGGGCAGCTCTTTTTTACGAGTAATTTTCAAATGCTTTAGACATTTCAGGAAGCACATTCAGCATTAGGAAGGAGAGAGAAAGGAGATTCTTTTAGGGAAGATGAGGAGGAAAGCCCCACGGTCAAAAAAAAAAAAAAAAACCCAGGGGAAAGCTTCAGCACTGAAAAAGGTGTCGAGGGGGCTTGCTGGGGGAGCGGGCTGTGGGGTGCACTGCAGCCTGGGGGCTGCTTCCCTAGGGCACACGTTCGTGAAACCCATCAACTAAACTGTTAGGATCCATGCCTTTTCTATATGTATTTATACTTCCAGTAGCAAGTTCCAAGAAGAGCACCCCAAGCCCTTACCCCAGGAGATGCTTCAAGCACGAGCAGACCCATCCAAGGGCACCAGAAGTGCTCTGACTCTGGGAAGTACAGGACGGGTGACGCTAGAGCCCCCTTTCTATCGTGGCTGCTTGAGAACACACACGGGGGTTTGGGCTGAGTTCAAGGTGCTTTGCCCAGTCCCCTCTCCCTGCCGCAGCGGACCCCTGCACCCCCAGCCTCTGAAAACACCAGAGCTGCCCCCTCTCTGGAGCACGACCCGCTGCTCCCAACTTCAAATCTTTTCTGCAATACCTTCGGAGCTCCAGATCCTTTTTTTGGGTCGTTTCCTTAAGTTCGCTCAGCAGGTCCAGAGCTTTCAAGTTTTCTTCTAAACTGCCGATCCCCAGTTCTTCCAGCAGATGGCATGTGGTCATCAACTCCCGCTGCAAATCGTCTGGAGGAAGAAAGGGACAGTCAGCCAAGGGTTTCACGGTGCCCCAAGCAAGGGATGCGCAAGTTGGGTGGCTGACGGGATTTTTCTTGTTCCCTGGAATGCTCGCGTGTTATGCTGGAATCGTGAAGAGCTCAAAGGCAGAGAGGGTCGTGGAGGACAACCTCCATGTGCTGGTCCGGCCTCTGTGCCCCTGTGCCGGAGACCACGGGGGCCTGAGATCGTAGATCAGGCGTGTGCACCAGCCGGGCAGTCGCTGGAACAGACCCGGAAGGCCACTTCAACGTCCTCAACAGAAACCAACACAAAAGGCCAAGGAAGTCTGGCCTGCGAGCAACTTAACAAAAAGCCTGTGGTTCCCACTCCACGCTCCTGGCATCTCTGCACCCCTCAGCCCCGAGAGCATGGCCTGCATCTAAGGAAACCGGCAGCTCTCCACTTCCAGCACATGCCACACCTGTACACACGATGTGTCACAACCGGACACCGTAACCTTTTGAGAACATTATAAGGGTTCTTCCACAAACACCCATCCTCTTCTACTCCTCGTTCTGGTCTCCACTGCCTCCTCCCAAAAAGACGTGTTCAGGACCTAATCTCAAGTACCTGCAAACGTGACCTTACTGGACGTGGAGTCTCTGTCGACATCACTGGGTTACAGT